AGCCTCTGTCTTCAGATTGCTGGTGGTCAGCGTTGTGGGGGGCTGCCCCGAGGAGGGGAGGGTGGGCTGCTCCCCTCCCCCCTGGTCAGCCGGGTCTGGACTGCAAGCTCAGGGAATAAACACGGCTCCCACTCAGCTGTGAGGGCTGCCTTTCTTTCCTATTCATTGCTTTTAAAAGAAAAGAAAAAAAAAGATGCACTTACTTATTTGAAAATCAGAACTACAAAGAGCAGAGAAGAGACAGAGAAGGAGAGCTTCCATCTGTTGGCTTCCGCTCCGGATAGCCATAGTGTCTGTGGCTAAGCCAGGCTGTTCTTCCAGGTCTCCCATGTGATTGTCCAAACAGTTGGGCCATCCTCCACTGCTTTCCCAGGCCATAAGCAAAGAACTGGAGAGGAAGTGGAGTAGCCAGGATTGGAACCAGCACCTCTGTGGGATACCGGCATCTCGGACAGCAGCTTGACACGCTATGCCATGATGCTGACTCACCCCATGAGATGTTTTTCTGTTTTTAGCTGGTGCATATGTGCGGGGTGCAGAGTGGCACTGCGATTCGTGCAGTGTGTGACGGTCAGATGAGGGTGATGGGCAGCCCCATCACTGTGGACCTGGTCACCCGTGGTATGGGATACTGTAGCATTCTCTCCCTGCCGCCTCAGGCAAGGCCGTCAATTGTTGCCACATGTGGTGACCAAAGGATTCAGATACTGTTTTCTAAGATTTACTTTATTTTTATTGCAAAGTGAGATCTATAGAGAGGAGGGACAGAGAAAGATATTTCATCTGTTAGTCCACAAGTGGCTGCAACAGCAGTGTTGCCCATCCAAAGCCAGGAGCTTCTTCCAGGTCTCCCACATGGGTGCAGGGTCCCAAGGTTTTGGGCCTTCCTCCACTGCTTTCCCAGGCCACAAGCAGAGGGCTGGAAGCGAAGTGGAACAGCTGGGATACAAATCGGTGCCCATATAGGATCCTGGTGCGTGCAAGGCGAGGCTTTAGCCAGCAGGCCGCTGCACCAGGCCCAGGACTCAGCATTGTTTCCATGTCAGTACGCAGCTTCCTCAGGCCCTGTGGGACTGACCCATCATCACCACTCCCCGTGTCTGTAGAGCCACCTCTCCATGGAGAAGCAGGGAACCTGGTGCCTACTGTTCAGGTTCCAGAACCCCCCCCCCACTGTCCTGACTTTCCCTGCAGCTATGCGGTTTACTCAGATCTCACACTCCTGCCCCCAGGGAGGGTGGGCTGCTGTCCATCACCAGTGGGGCATGGGGCACAGCTCCTCCTCTCCCCCACACTGGGAAATCACCCTGGGAGAGTTAGACCTTCCTGCTGTTTCAGTACGAGGGGAGCCTGTGTGTTCTGCAGATCCCAACGGTGCAGATGGAGCGTCCCTTAGCTGAAACGCTCGGGACCAGGCGTGGTTGAGATCCCAGATTCTTCCGGGGCTTGAAATACTCAAATAGGCTCTCGCACGATGAAGAGTCAGAGAAACGTAGATCCAAACTCCAGATGCCGTGTTACCAGGCACTGTATCCAGATAGCCCGAAGGTACTGAGCTTGTGTTAACTGTGGCCAGTCACAGGGTCAAGTGTGGGATCGTCCGCCTGCGGCATCGTGTTGGTGCTCAGAGCATTGTGGGCTTTGGAGCACTTTGAAGGCTGGATTCTAAGTTAGGCGCATACAGCGTGTAGAGGGGAGGAATATACAAGTGTGTGTGCCTCTCCTGGGTTGAGGGCATGGAGGTTAGCAGGCACATGCGCGTTTTCATGTCTCCTTCCTCCACCCTCTGCTGCGGCTGCTTATTGTTGTGTGCACAAGCCTTGTAGATGCAGCTTGGATGTTGCTTTTTAAATGTATTGCTATGTTTTGGAATTCACCTTGGGCCATATTCTTCTGACAGATTCTGTATATGCTATTGATGCACATTGGTGTCTAGATTTAAAAAAAAGCATTAGAATTGCTGGCCTGAAGTATTTATGCACTTGGATTTTCTGAAAGAATATTAAGCGTTTAAAGCTTATTTATTTGAGTTATTGATCAGATGTTCAATCTTTGATCTGCTGGTTCGTTCCCTGAATGCCTGTAGCAGCCAGGGCTGGACTAGGCCAGGCATTAGCCTTGATCTCAGTCCAGGCCTCTCATGTGGCAGTGTAGTTGATCCATGTCTGTCAGCTCCTGAGTGTGCACCAGCAGGAATCGAACCAGAAGCACAGCTGGAAGGGGCTGGCACAGTGGCTCTCCCTACAAACACTGGGATCTCGTGTGGGCGCTGGTTCGTATCCCGACTGCTCCTCTTCCCATCCAGCTCCCTACCTGTGACCTGGAAAGGCAGTGGAGGATGACCCAAAGCCTTGAGATCCTACACCTGCCTGGGAGGCCAAAAGAGTCTCCTGGCTCGGCTCCAGCCGGTGCGGCCACGTGAGGAGCGAACCAGCAGATGGGAGATGTTTCTGTCTATCTTCCCTTCTCTTTGTAAATCTGCCTTTCTAATAAAAATAGAGAAATCTTAAAAAAGAAAAAAAGCAGAACTGGGACTTGACCTCCACACTCCAGTGTGGGATGTGGGGCATCTCACCCAAGATTCCAAATCCTGTACCAGATGCCAACTGCTAAAAAAATGTTTTTCTGTTTCTGATGTGATTGTTTTTTCAGTCTTTATTTATAGGTCTTGATTTCTTAGATTTGTCTTCAGTTTCTGATATCTCGTGGATATACTCGTCTCTGTCCTGGGAGAATTTCTGAGATATTCTGTTGATTGTCTGCATTCTGTAATCCACAGTTCCCGTGCTTGTTGGATCCCTGTGTGCTGGTCATTTTTTATGTTTTTAAGAACTCTTAGTATTTCCATTGTTTTCTTGTCAAGACTTCTGACCTTCTGTATTTTGGTCTTTTATGAAATGATAACATACTGGATGTGCACAGATTTTTCAGTGTTCAACTTGATAAATTCTCAGAAAGTGCAGCTTCCATAACCAGTACTTTATGAAGACATAAACAAGCCCGGAGTGTCCCTCGTTCACTTTCCACTTCTAGTCTCCCAGGGTAGCCACACGAGTGAATCATAACACCATGTGTTTGCTTGGTCTTTATTTTTCTTTTTAATGTTTATTTGAAATACAAAAATAGATACCTCCCATTTGTTGGCTCCTCCCCCAGATGCCTACAGCAGCTGGGACTGAGCAAGCCAAAGCAAGGAGCCAGGCTCTCCGGCTGTGTCTCTTCTGGGGGTGGCAGGGGTGCGAGTGTTGCCTCCCAGGAGGCTGGAATTGGGAGGGGAGTCAGACTAGAGGAGGGTAGCCAGGTGGTCTGGTACGAGGAGCAGGCGTCCCACGTGCCGTGACTGTCACCCTGCCAAATGCCTGCCCCGTTTGACCTGTCCTAGAAACTCCATATCGATGTCATTATCTGGCCATGCCCCTTGGCCTTCCTTTACTGTAACATCACGTCACACAGAGCTGTTCCGTGGCCCTCCTTTACTGTAACAGCACGTCACACAGAGCTGTTCCGTGGCCCTCCTTTACTGTAACAGCACGTCACACAGAGCTGTTCCGTGGCCCTCCTTTACTGTAACAGCACGTCACACAGAGCTGTTCCGTGGCCCTCCTTTACTGTAACAGCACGTCACACAGAGCTGTTCCGTCTCATTGTGGAGAGTGAGAGTGGTCATGCACTGCAGCCTTGGAGGGAGGAATGTTTATTGGGGACAGCGGTCCTCACTGCAGTCCAGGAGCCCGCACCGCCTGGCCAAGGTCAGAGGTTTTCAAGCGGTGGCGCAGTGGTTAAGGTCCTCGCCTTGCACATCCAGGATCCCATATGGGCGCCGGTTCTAATCCCAGCAGCCCCACTTCCCTTCCAGCTCCCTGCCTGTGGCCTGGGAAAGCAGTCGAGGACGGCCTAAAGCTTTGGCACCCTGTACCCACGTTGGAGACCCGGAAGAGGCTCCTGGCTTCAGATCGGCATAGTATCAGCCGTTGCACTCACTTGGGGAGTGAATCATCGGACGAAGGATCTTCCTCTCTGTCTCTGCTCTCTGTATATCCGCCTTTCCAATAAAAATAAAATAAATCTTTAAAAAAAAATGCCTCTTCTAAACCTGCCCTACCAATGACACTAAACATGTTTTCTTGACAAAGAAAAGGAATGGCATCCACCAAAACCAAAGGCAAATGTGAAGAACATCCCAGTAAAATGACAACAGTAGGCTAAATCAATGAACAATCCATAGCTAAAATGACAGAACCAATTTTCACCTATTTATATTAATCCTGAATGCAAATGGCTTAAACTCATCAATCAAATATCATAGATTAGTAGAGTTGATTAAAAAGCAAAACCCATCTATTTGTTGCCTACAGGAGACACATTTCACCAACAAGGATCAGCGGAAACTATCTCATGGATTTTGGGGTTTTTTTTGTTGTTGTTAGTTTTATCTCTTCAAAACTCTTTCAGATTAAATTCTTCAGTGACTCATAGATCGTACAGTAGCATCATTTTCTTCAAGAAGGTTCTTGATTTTCTTATTTCTTCAGTGACACCTTAGTCATTCAGTAGCATGTTATTTAACTTCATGGTGTTATTAATTTCTCTTGTTATTAATTTCCTGTTGATTTTGTATTGTGGCTTTTCAGTACGTGTGTAAATGGAGGCTAACATCCAGATGTGAGGATACAATGCAGTATGCGTCTCTACTTCCAGACAGAGATGGACTCCTAATTAATCTGTTTACTATCTCTTGACAATAGGATGCTGGACTCTGTGCCACTGTCCATGCTGCAGCGATGGACATGTGACTGTGTATGAAGAACTGTACTATAGTAATACTATAGGGGAACTCAGTGACCGGGGAGGGACCTGGGGAGGGGATAAGGGAAATCCCAGGACCTATGGAACTGTATCATAAAACAATAATAATAATAAAAGGAAGTAAAATTAAATAAATAAAACCTACAGCTGCTTAAAAAACAAAAGAAAAAAGAAAAACCTTGTGTATTTTGCAGGTTTTGGACCAGTATGAACGGGAGGGGTTCGACTTCCTCGCAAAGGTGTTTAACTCTTCACATTCTTTCCTGGAAGACTTGACCGGCCTCACCCTGCTGCACCAGGAGACCCAGGCGGCAGAGGTAAGAGCAGAGCTGGCCTCTGATGTGGGGTGGGGTGTCTGACACCTGCTGGATACTCAGCTGGGCAGATGAGGAGGAAACTAGGCAATAGTGTGCCTACTGATGATCGGAGAGAAGCTGGGTGGGCTTGCGTGCAGACGGCTGCCCGGTGGGAGCTGAGAGCGCAGGATGGTCCTGGTGGGGTGCAGGGAGCCGGTTTCCCTGCACCTCTTGCTCTTAGCCCAGAGCTGCACGCTCCAGCGTGCATGGAACTTGGTGGTGGTGGAGGTGATCTTGGCGTGCCTCACCCGACGGGCGGTCCAGTCCGTCTCCGTGGGCCCTGAACCCGCCGTGGGCTGAGGAAGCTCTTGGCTAGAGTACTCTGGACCTTCCTTCCCTGCATTTCTGCTGCATTTTCTTTATTGAAAGGACTGTCTTTAAGAAATGTGTCGCCATCTTGCCCTGCTGGAGTGGATTTGTTGGGCTGTGAGTAGAAGGGGCTGCGGTTTCTAGGCGACTGGAGGGCCTGGGCAGGCTTTCTCTTATGTCAGGCTTAGGACTGAATTCAGGTCTTTCCTAACTCTGGGGTCCTGCGGGCGCTAACCAGATGCTGTTTGCACTGCGAGCAATGGTTGGCACCCCAGGATGTTGGAGTGCCACTCCCCTTTAGCCCAGGAGGTGCATGGTCTCTGCAGGGTGTAGAGACCGGTCCGTCCCAGAGCTGTGAGTGGGACTCCACACAGCTCTCAGCAGCGTGTAGTCCTCGAGCCACACTGTCCTGCCTGACCCTGAGGTCACCTGGGGACTGGCTGCGGGGCGGGAGGACAGTGAGCCACTCCCGTTTTCACCTGGTGTGTTCTGCGTTCTGACTGTCGTGGAGCTGCAGGAGCCTGGGGCCGCAGGGAGCGCGGCTGCGTCTGCCCTCCGGGGAGTGATAGTTCTAGTCGTGGAATCGTCAGCCCACGTCATGTTTCAGATTGCAGGTGATGAGCCAGCTGCAGTGTCTGAGACAGATCTTGTGGGTGTGTCTTAGGCCTGCCCTAGGTGTTATATTTTGAAAGAAGCCAACTCTGAAAGTTAGAAGCTTAACATAAAAAAGTCTTTTCCCCATTTCCAGCTCCTTTGGCAATCCAGTCCTGGCAAGCCCAGGCCACACATTCCATAATAGTGGTAATCAGCTGGAGCCAGTGAACATGGTCTGCAGCTAAATAGTGAAGTAGTGTAAAAGTGCTCTGAAAAGCCACACTTACTGCCACACCCACCCCTCAAGACTCAGCTTCCTGCCCAGAGGTGGCCTGGGGACAGTCTCTTGTGGGCAGCTGGCAGCTTTCCTCAGCTGCAGACCCCTGCAGGTACCTGTATCAGAAAAGGAATGTTAATTTTAAGTAAGGACCCCCTCCCCAAAAAATACCCAAGTAACTGTTGTATGAGGAAGAGGACTTTGGCATTCATCTGAGAATCATCTTCCCCCGTGTGTGCCTTCCGTGATTGTGAAAGTGTGTGTCCACCTCTGCGTGGGGGTAAGGTTGACGAGACTCTGACAGCAAGCGGTTTTAAAGACTACTTTTTTTTTTTCTTTTCTTCTTCTTCTTCTTTAAAGATAATAGCTGGGATTTGACAGGAAAATGGAGGGGGAGGAGGAAGATGAGGAGATTCTAGGGCAGGACCAGGGTCCCCGAGGCCCAGGCGCAGGAGTGTGGGGCGGGAGTGCTCTGCAGTGTGGGGGATGTGCTTCTGTTGTGGAGTTGTGACTCCCAAGCCCCATGACTCGCCCTTGTACGGTGCACACAGAGCCCTGTGTACAGATGCGTGGGCGTGGGAGGTGGTCGTTCCACTCTCCTTCCCCCCAGAGCAGACGCTAATCGAGCTGTGGATTTGCCTGTGGACACGTCGGCCACGAGGGACAGCAGCATGCTGCCTCCGTGTCTTGCACGCGGCATGGTGTGCTCGAGGGTCATGGCTGTGGCAGGATCTTTCTGGACTTCAGGGAGAGACAGTGTTTGGAGTTGGCTCGTGTGTCCCGTACCCTGCAGCTCCATGGCCTGCCTCCCCCAGGCTCCGTGGGAGATGGCTGAGTCCTTGGCCTGGGCTCTCATAGCAGGTACCTGGGACGGCAGCTTGGACAGTCTAGCACAGAACCAGCTGGCTGGGCTGGCCAAGGCAAGGGTGTCGTAGGCAGTGCTGGCTCTACAATGGGAGGGTGGGTGGGTGAGCACGGCCAGGTGATGCTGGGGACAGCAGAGGAAGCTTCGAGACAGCAGGCCTGGTCAGCTGGCTGCGCTACAGAACTGTCCTGTTCCAGTAGAGGAAAGGCTGTGGGGTAGGCATGTAGCTTCAAATGGATGAATGAGAAATGCGCATGCTAACTTAGTTTTGTCGGGTAATGAAGGAAAACACTGCATATACACTATTTGCATTTGCTGTTGCAAGTGTTTTTTTGTTGTTGTTTTGGTTTTTTTTAAGTTCATGGAAAAAATGGCTTTAGAAGATAAGGGCTTTTGAGCATTTCCTTGTCCTTGTGTGCTTTCTGCAGTCAGCATGTTTCCCGTGAACTCCGGGAAGACCCCTGAGGCCACCAGAATAAACAGCATGCTCAGTCCCCTTTTCCACAGACTCTGTGGTGTCTGAGGAGAGACCTTAAAGGGCATGGACAGACCCCTCTTCTTTGGCTGTGAGACCCTTGCTGAGGGTGGGCTTTTCTCCTTGCGAGCGACCCTGACCACCGCTCCTCCCAGACCCCAGGCACCGCAGGAAAGGGTCTGGACACTGGGGAGCCAGCACGCGTCCCCAGTCGTGGCCCTGGAGCATGCTCGCTTGGTTGCTGGGAGGCCCCCTCTTTCAGGCGCGCTTCACGGAGTGCGCTGAGTGGGCCTCTGAGGGTCATCTCCTCCAGTGACTAGAGCAAGCGTCTGTTATCATTGTCCTCCCAGCTGTGTGTTCAAGGTTGTGCTTTGAGAAATATTGCAATATTTTCACTCAGTCCACCGAGAGAGAAAGCTGACTCATGAGTGGGCTAATAAAGCAGGCTGTGTGGGTGTGTCCCTGAGACTCCGGCTCCCGCAGCCCACAGCCCAACTGCCGTGAAAGGCTTCACTCTGGTCCTTGGGGGCTTGCATGTCCCGGGACCCCGGGATCACATCAGGCCGTGTCGTGTGCCCCTACCTCGACTGTGCCATGCAGTCACGGGTACAGTGCTCCGTTAACATCACGTGCATCCTCTCAGGCTTTTGCGAAACAAAATTCATTCCTGCTAATGTGGAGATTGATGCATGATTGTGTAAGGAGAAAAAAAAGAAATTGAATCCCCACTGTGACAGGTTGTGGGCAGTCACAAGTGGGTTGACAAGACGGAGCAGGGCCAAGCCGACTCAGGCGCTGAATCATCCACGGCAGAATTCAAAATTCCAGACAAGAAATGCCTGTTTCTCTCCCAGCAGGAAGAAAGGTTTACACAGTGTTACAGTCACCTGACTCGCCTGCGCTGGCGCTGCTGTGTCCCGCGAGGTAACCGCACCGCCAGCAGGGCTTCCCGCCAGGCTCCTCTCCTTCACAGCTGCTTCTGATTTGGTTCCCGTGGAATCATGTTTTGTTTGGTTTTCTATTTAACAACAGTCAGATATTTATGTAAGCTTCATCAAGCGCCTCCGATGACAAACCCGCCCGTGGAGGCCTTCGGAGCTGTGGGAAAGCCCCGTGTCAGCACTCGGGCCTGCTTGCAGCGCAGGAGGGCGCCCTGGGGCCTGACCTCGCCCACCCAGGCCTCTGGCGTGCTCTCGGCAGGGCCTGTGCCAGCCGCCTGTGCAGCCCCGCACGGTGCCCTGCCTCGTTTCTCCTTGTACAGCAGTACTGTAGACTTGGCCTTGGCCCCGCCTCCCCAGTGAGAGGCAGAGACAAGAAAAAAACAAGAAAACACTCGATTCACAGGTTAGTTTTGAAAATAAAGCTTGGAGGGGGCACGTCTTATTCAGAAGCGACGTTATTGAATATGTTCCCCCACGCACACGCTTTTTTGTTTATTCCCTGAGAGAGTCATTCGCTTGGGTTTGAGATGTTCGCATCACCTGGGGAGGCTTCAGCCAGAGTGGACAGTGAGGCCTGGGCAGAGTCCGCCTCCCTCCCCATCAGAGGATGAGTTGTGGAGGCCCGTAGGGGGAGGAGAGGGGAGAATGCAGATGGCCAGCTGGGGTTAGAAAACAGAATCCTGCTTGCCATTGGTCCTGGGTCTGCTGGCGTTCTCGGGAGCCATCTTGGATGGAGAGTGCCAGCTTGCTGTGCCTCAGTCCTGCACATCCACACACTGAACCTCAGGCCCGGCCCGGCCCGGCCGTCGTGAGAACTTGGGGGTGAACAAGCAGATGGAAGACCTCTCTGTTTCTCTCTACCTTTGAAATAAGTAAACTTTAATAAATAAAAGGTCAAATCGCTAAGTGTTTTTAAAATGTTTAAAAGCCTATAAAAGTTATTACCTTTTACACATTTTTGTAAATGTTCTCTGGTGTTTGTTTTATCTGGCTGCCATTACTAGAAACATTCTTTGGAGATTTGGAGCTGGATTTTTGAGCCTTGAGAAGAGCTTTTTCACAGTGCATAGCAGTGCAGACATTCACAGTGCTAGGCTCCACACGGTGAATTGACCCCGTTCTTCAGGCTTGGCCCCAGGACTTGTGGCTTCTGCATCAACCCCAGTCACCCAGCCACACTTGAGCAGTTAATAACAGTTGCTGCTCGCCACCTGTCAGTGCAGCTTCCAAGCAGAAGCTCCCAGGCCCCTTGCTTTGACAACTTCCTTGGAATTCCCATTCCCTGGAATCCTCCGTCAGTACTGGTGGGAGTATAGAATTCTGCAGCCACTGTGGAAAATATTTTTGTGGTTCATTAAAAAGATAAAGGTGCAATTACAGTCTGGCCCATAGGGTTCGTTAATAAATCCTTAGCCAGGAAGAAGTGACAGTATTCTCATGTATACAGATGTTCATGATACTGTCAGTTATTCCTGATAGTCAGAAAGTGGAAGCAGCCCA